GAAATATTACAAAGAGAAAGTATAGTCTCGTATACTATCAGGTCTGTTTTATTTCTAAATTAGATCAGAATCAGGTTATGCAGTTTTTTTAATTGGAGTATAATTGACATACAATATTATATTAGTTTTGACTCAGGTCATGATCTCATGTTTCATCAGTTTGAGCCCTGTGTCAGGCTCTGTTCTGATAGCATGGGCCTGCTTGGGATTTTCTCTCTCCCTCTCTCTCTGCCCCTCCCCCACTCATGTGCACGTGCACTCCCTCTCTCTCCCTCTGTCTCTCTCAAAATAAATAAACATTTTTTTTTAATCATGAGGATACACAAATGAACTACTGGGACTTCATCAAAATAAAATGCTTCTGCACAGTGAAGGAAACAATCAGCAAAACTAAAAGGCAACCAATGGAATGGGAGAAGATATCTGCAAACCACATATCACACAAAGGGTTAGTATCCAAAATCTATAAAGAACTGATCAAATTCAACACCCAAAAAACAAATAATCCAGTGAAGAAATGGGCAAAAGACATCAATAGACACCTCTCCAAAGAAGACATCCAGATGGCCAACCAACACATGAAAAAATGCTCCACATCACTCATCATCAGGGAAATACAAACCAAAACCACAATGAGATACCACCTTACACCTGTCAGAATGGCTAACATTAACAGCTCAGGCAACAACAGATGTTGGTGAGGATGCAGAGAAAGAGGATCTCTTTTGCATTGTTGGTGGGAATGCAGACTGGTGCAGCCACTCTGGAAAACAGTATGGAACTTCCTCAAAAAACTAAATATAGAACTACCCTATGACCCAGCAATTGCACTACTAGGTATTTATCCATGGGATATAGGTATGCTGTTTCGAAGGGACACATGCACCCCCATGTTTATAGCAGCACTATCAACAATAGCCAAAGTATGGAAAGAGCCCAAATGTCCGTCGATGGATGAATGGCTAAAGAAGATGTGGTATATATATACAATGGAATATTACTCAGCAATCAAAAAGAATGAAATCTTGCCATTTACAACTACGTGGATGGAACTGGAGGGTATTATGCTAAGTGAAATTAGTCAGTCAGAGAAAGACAAAAGTCATATGACTTCATACATATGAGGACTTTAAGAGACAAAACAGATGAACAGAAGGGAAGGGAAACAAAAATAATATAAAAACAGGGAGGGGGACAAAACAGAAGAGACTCATAAATATGGAGAACAAACTGAGGGTTACAGGAGAGGTTGTGGGAGGGGGGATGGGCTAAATGGGTGAGGGTCACTAAGGAATCTACTCCTGAAATCATTGTTGCACTATATGCTAACTAATTTAGATGTAAATTTTTAAAAATAAAATTTAAATTTAAAAAAAGACCAAAAAAAAAAAAAAAAAGAAATATCAGAAAGAGCAAGACTCTACAATATGACCAGGCTAATATTTAAAAGAATCAAATATAATTCCTAGAAATGAAAAATAAAATAATTTAAATAAAAACTCAATGGACAAATTTAACAGTAGATTAGATACATCTAAAAATATAATTAGTGAACATAGAAATAGATCTGCAAAATAGCCAGAGTATAATACGGAATAATTTTTTGTAATGGAAAATACTGAAGAGAGATGAAGAATCATGGAAAATAAAAAGGGAATGTTTAACATGTGATCTATTCAGAATTTCAGAAATAAGGGAAATAAGTCACAAGCAATATTTTAAAAAGATAATAAACTTCAGAATTGATGAAAACCCAGTCTGTAGATTACAGAAACCCAGTGGGATAAAAATAAAAAGAAACCCACATTAGGCACATCACAGAGATATTGCACAGACACCACAACAGAAAATCTTAAAAACAGCCAGAGAAAAAGACAGATTAACCCCAAAGGAATGACAGGCTGAGATCTTACTTCTCCATAACAGGAATGGCAACCAGAAGGCAGGAATATTTGCCAATAGGCTGAGAGAGACCATGGGAAATGCACAGATGTAGAAAGGTTGAAATTTGTCAGGCAAAGTCTAATGACAAGCAAGCTGATATGAACCTTAAGGTTAAAGAGCTTTTTAGAAATAAAGAAGGTAATAATGTTGATTAAAGATTCACCTAGAAGAGCTAACAATACTAATTTATATGTACCTAATAGCATTCCCTCACTGACAGAACTATAGGAAGAAACAGACAAAACTCAGGAACAAATGATGAGGTATTTTTGCATCCTCCCTCAGTAATTGATAACCAGGCAAATCAGTAAGGAAATAGATTTCAGCAAAGTAATTAACATTGTAACATTACTTTGTAACATTACTTTGTAATGTTTGGGATGTCCTTTGTAAGTAATTATATTATCTAAGCAATTATGTTTTCTAAATGGTAATATAGAATGCTATCCCCTACAAAATATATATTCTTCTCAAAGATATAAGGACATTTATGAGACCTAACCATAAATGGAGCCATAAAGAAAGCCCCAACAAATGTCAAAGGATTCGTGCAAGTAATGTACTTTTCATATGCTCATGTTATGAAGCTCAGAAAGTGTGGAAAAGTCTAGAGAAGAGAATAAAACTCACCCACAGTTCTACCAGTTAGAGATCACTTCTGTTCATTTACTAGGTTATTTCCCTCCTCTATATTGTTTTAAATAGAATGAGATCATTCTGGATATAGGTTATATTTTTTTAATCTCTTTTCACTTACCATAATAAACACTTTCTTATGTCATGAACATTTCTTTGTAACCCTTCTATTGGCTACATAATATTCCATCAATTGGATATGCCATAAATTCCTTACCTATTTCCTTATTGTTAATTATTGAGGGTTTTTTTTTTCCAGGTTTCTGAGACCATAAATATCCCTGTAATTAACTTTGTGGTATTTACAAGCACCTTTCATCCAAGGACTTCAAAGCATTTCAGAATGATCTCATTTTGCTCTCTAGCCAGTGAGATGACTAGCATTTTTATTCCTTTTTGCCAGCAAAGTATTTCCACTTCTAGCCAATGTGTTACCTGGAGATGTTGTATTCATAGTCTAGGCAGCCCCCACCCCCTTCTGTTGCTTCCCTGCAGATAGAACTGACTTTCCCACCAGCTCTTTCCCACACATTGCTACAGGCACCTTCTGGCTTAGCCTCAGGCAAACTCAGTTTCAAAGAGCTTGAACATACTTCTCTGGCTGTGATCCCTGCAGAAGCCAGCAGCCTCTTCCTCCAACACTGTAACTGGTGTGAGAAGCGTCCTTGGGAAGATGCTGCTGTTCATCAAAGCTTGATAATCCATCTGACACCCGTTTCACATGTGTGTGCAACTTCTAAGCATTGGGATGTGAAATTAACATTTCCCTGTAATTTGTTGGTGTTACAGAGACGATTTGGGTGATTATTCTTATCGTCATATTTTTTAAATTACAAAATTATTTAACAACTTCTTTTGAAACAGCAAATGAGGTTGAGTAAAGTCAGCATGGTTCACAGAGTTCAGCAAGAGCAAAGAGCAATAATCCAATTGTGCATCTCAGAAACGAAAATGGGAGACTGTATTGCTTTGGGGAGAAAACAACTATTCTTATATCTAGTTAATTATGTTATGAAGAGGGCACTAAAACTTGCTCCCTTGCATGTTCGTCATCTGACCTTCTGCCATAGAGTAATTCACTTTAATTGTCTTTTCACAAAAGCATTAGTGCATTTCTAGGAGAGAAGTGCTTCTGCTCCCACGTCTTTCCCCTTCTGGTCTGCTCCTTTCTTCTCCGACCCCACCTCCCCCCAAACCCCTCTATCTCACTTTCCCTCGTTCTCACTCAACTTCCCATGAGTATAGTTACAGGATGAATGTGATGGCCGCTGTGGTCTTTACTGTTTCCATTTTCTCAGCTCCCAACTCCATTGGAGCCACTAACAAACCAGCCTTTTTTCCAGATAGAGTGTGTGAACTTGGCTGTGAGGTGTGCCCCTTCCAAGAGCAAACTGGCAAGCTTTTAATATTCCATTCCTCACACACCCTCCGGCATGGCTCTTCTCTCAATTTCGGTGCCCAGTTCCAACCACCCCACTGGCCCAAACCCAGGAGCAGACAGAAGGACCACAGCTTCATTTAAGGCTCTCAGCCCCTCAGCTTTGCATTTCTCTGGGGGAGAAAAAGAAGTCCTGAAGATAGCCCCTCTCACTTCCTCCCTTAAGGAGAAGTGGGTGGCTCAGTCAGTTAAGTACCTGACTCTTTCTTCATTTTGGCTCCAGTCATGACCTCATGGTTCATAGGATCAAGTCCTATGACTTGAGTTGGGCTCAACACTGACACTGCAGAGCCTGCAAGGGATTCTCCCTCTCCCTCTCTCTCTCTGCGCCTCCCCTGCTCACATATGCACACGCTCATTCGCTCTCAAAATAAATAAATGAACATTTTTTAAAAGGTGGGTGGTTAAAAACAGTGGCTGAAATACAGAGAAAGTATAATGGAATAGTGCCAAGAGCAGTATTAGGAAGTATGCCAAGGCTTGTAGAAACTGTTACTATCCCCACTTTATGGACAAGGAGATGAGGCAGACAGAGATTACATGGCTTGCCCACAATCATATAGCTAGTTAAGTGGTGGAACTGAGATTTGAATTCAGTTCAGTTCAGTTGTGACTCCAAGGCCCAAGCATGCTTCACCAGGGGGACCAAATGCTGGTGACAATTTCTTCATCCCTTCATTCAAGAGATATTTATTCAGCACCAGACATGCACTGGGCCATGTCCTAGTGCTAGGGAGCCACGGGGGAGTTAAAAAAAAGGCCTCTGGCCTTTAAAATTTTGCAATGCAAATGCAGGAGGAAGCCAATAAGAAAGGATGCAGCCCCCTGAAGTCAGTGCTGCTGGGGCGAGAAGGCCCCAAGGTCCCTCAGGAGCCATGGCAAGTGGGCACACTTAGAGGAGGACGACCAAATCTAACCTCATACTCCTTATGGCCGCTCTTGGAGCCACTATGCAGCAAGAGAGATTCTGGTGGTGGCTTACCTCCCCTGGCGCCTCCGGCCACCCTGGAGTGTAATCTGAACGGGGATACTGAACGGCTGCATGAGACCAGGGGCCTGGCCAAAATGGACTCCTTTCACCTGAGTCAAGCCTCTGAGGGCACAAGAAGGGCGAAGCTTAGGCATCAACGGAAGTGGGGTCCCAGAGGGAGACGCCAGTCCTAGCGCAGGCAGCCATCAGGAGCAGCGGTGCACAGCGCCCGCTTTCCAGGAGACGTGGGAAGTCGAGGCAGCCTGGGGCAGGGGCGGGTGAGGGGGTGGGGGGGAGGTCTGCATTTTCTCAAAAAGCAGAGTATCAATCCTAGACGCTCAAGAAGACCGTTAATGACCTTCTGCATCCAGACCTTCTCCCCATGGTCACCCAGCGCCTGCCTCTGCCTAGTCACCTGTGTTCCGCTTTGTCACCTATGTTCCGCTTTGTCACCTGGGTTCCGCTCCAGCAGCCAGCTGCATTGCCATAGAGACCTAACCGCTTGTGGAAAGTTGAGTCCCCAGGGACCCTATGTAATTGGTGAGGGACATACTCAGTTCCAGGTTTATAAAAAGAGGAAATGTTTTGCCCTGACTACGTTTCCTTTTTCACAAATTGTCTGTTAGAGTGCAAGCGTAGAGAGTGGATTTTTCCGGTTAATTGCATGTTCCAATTAAGAGAATTCATTTTTATACCATATGTGATTTCCCAAATTTTCAAGGGCCATAAAATAACTCACCATTAAAACTGTATCAAGGGGCGCCTGGATGGCTTAGCGGGTTAAGCATCTGGCTCGATCTCAACTCAGGTCTTCATCTCTCAGGGTCCTGAGTTCAAGCCCCCTCCCCGCACCCTTGGGGGCCACGCTGGGTGTGGGACCTAGTTACAAAAAATAAAAATAAAATTTATCAAGGTTTGAAAAAACTGTATCAAATATCATGTTATCTTTCTTTGATAACCCAGAACACATTTGGAGATGTTTCAATACTTTCAAATCGTGAACATCAATTAGCATTATATTGTAGCTTACTAAAAGGTGGATAATAAAATGTCAGACCCCTTTTGCCATATGTGTTTGGTTTTTTTTCAACGTTTATTTATTTTTGGGACAGAGAGAGACAGAGCATGAACGGGGGAGGGGCAGAGAGAGAGGGAGACACAGAATCAGAAACAGGCTCCAGGCTCTGAGCCATCAGCCCAGAGCCCGACGCGGGGCTCGAACTCACGGACCGCGAGATCGTGACCTGGCTGAAGTCGGACGCTTAACCGACTGCGCCACCCAGGCGCCCCTGCCATATGTTTTTAATAAGGGTAATATCATCTTACCATTTTCCAAAACATTACCATGGGCAAGAATGTAAGCATAATCTCTTCTGTAAATATCCGTGTATATATAGCCAGATTAACTGTTACTTGCAGCTGTTTAATATTGCTTAAAATATATATTGATATACTTCTGAGAGTATGATATTGTATTGATAGTATTGATATACTTCTTAGAGTTATAGCCTAAGTCTTTTATAAACCATATGTTTCTAATGAACTGATATAATTTGGAATAAAATCTAATAGCAACTAAAACTTTTTCCCTTCTGCCCCCTCCTTGCAACTTAGCCTTATAAATATATAACCTTTCTTTTTCAGATGTAGATGTGCTAATAAATTCCCCTGCAATTTGGTATGTAACTCTCTTTGAAGAGGTAAATAATTTGCTACTATTTTTGCATATTTGATTCAATCTCAAAAATATACTAATGTTTGAGCCTGTGAGATCCCTACATGGCTCCCAGGACTTGAATCCACCTTTCCTGGGGCCTTCTGGTCGTCCCCTTTTTCTGATTCTTACTCCATTATGTGAAAACCCTCACTCATGATCTTTAAAAATTCATCTTAAGAGGGTATAGAGAAAGTGAGTTATTTCCAATTACTTTTAGTCTCCATTCAAGAGTTCTGAGAGACCCAGACATTTGTTTGAGGTCCTAGACAAGTCAGGGACTGAATATGTCTGAGGCATAGCTGTCACAACTGACCATCTGAGATTGATCTCAGACCTAGTGCTTTGTTTTCTCTTCCCTTTTAAATAGGGTCAATGACAGGTGAAAAGGAGTAACATAACCTGTTGCCCTTTGATTTACCTCCTACTGCCGCTTCACTTGGTGACTCACCTCTGCCCACCACTACCAGCCCACCCCCCTCTGGCCCCTACAGCAAGTCCCCTGCACATACATACTTCACTCAAGACTCACAGTCCCAAAAATCTAGAATGGTCAGTATGAATTGCAATGCCAGCGTGTCTATTCAGGGACATGGCAAATAAGGCAGAAGGAGTGTGGTGTAAGAGACACCAGGTACATGTGCCCTCACTATATATCAGGGCGTCTGGTCCCTTCTCTTGGTCCCCTAGACCATCCCTGAGCTCCTGGTTTATGCCTTCCTCTCACAGTTGCCCGAGATCACTTCCTGCTCCACCAAATATCAGGTATGAGTCAACTGTCAAACCCACCATGTGGGTCCCCTTCCTCTCTGGGCCAGAAGCTTTGGGTACTGGGTTCAAATCCCAGCTTTGTAACTCCAAATAACCCTTTAAACTTTCACTGCCTTGGTTTTCCTCAGTAAAAAGGGAGTAAATAAAACACAGTGTGAATTGTATGAGTATGGTGAGGCTTAATTAGTGCCCATAAACTGTTGTGAGATGTGTAGATGAAAGGGGATGTTATTGTAAAATGCTGGCATCATGGACTCCTCGCTCCAGAGCCCATAGTCATTTTCCTTTGCATTTAACAAATGCTTTACTCAAGGGGAAAAAAAGAACTACTTTTCCCTTTTATCATGCTGGAGAACCTACTTCCTCATTCTTTTTCACATTCTCTCAATTACACATTACCTATCACAGCTAAGAATTCTGTAGCTGAAATTCTCCATGTTCGTGAACACGATGGCTCTCTTTTCAAATTTAGACATGCATGAGTCATTTACAGCAACCTAAGAAGTATACAACAGCCTACATTCTTGTGTGTCTGTGTGTTTGTAGGTAGGAGAATAAATAAATCCCCAACTGAAACATCATCCCATTATGAGTAGTTTCTGCTAATGCAAGCAACAATTTAAAGTATCAAAAGTAAAGTCATATCTGATCTTACATTCTCTTCACAGGAAAAAAACAACAAAAACAACAAGGGAGTATGATCTGTGCCACGCACTTAGGGAGTCTTAACGGGATCTTCCATTGCCTTTATCTTAATGACTGCCTCCAGCCATCTTCCCTAATCAAATTGACACTGATCCTATGACCTAAGCTCATGTCAGAGAAACCAACATCACCCCTCTGCAGATGTTCTTCCTGCTCTAATGAGAAATAATACTAATAACTAACTTTTATTGAGCACTTGCTATGAGCCTGGCACAGTTCTAAGGCTTTACATGTATTAATTCATTCCTTGGGCTTTTGCAAGAGTAGAGAGCCACACTGAGTTATTCAATTTCACAGGAGCCAGAGAACTGAGCGTCTCCTGGCATAAAGACAACTCATTGGATAATTGAAGCAGAAAGTAATAGAAGCAATAGCTGAAATTGTTACATAGTTCAACAGCCCTGGATTTATGGTCCTATTTCAAATCCACTGCAACCAAGTCTTCAGGTGGCACTGGGTTTGGGCATGCTTTACAATATTGTAAATCAAGGTATTGATCGCTACATGAGTGGCACTTGATTTTAAGTGTGACCTGCTATGAAATACAGGTTCCTAGGTCCCATCTCTAGAAGGTTCTGATAAAATAGCTTGGTTATAAGACCCAGGAACCTGCATTTTAAAAGCTCCTCATGTGATTCTAATACAAGTGGTCCTATGTTCATTCTTTGGAAACCCCCAGGTCACATTACGGGTTAAATAGGTCTTGGAAGCCTGACCTTGGAAAACTAAACTCTGTGTCTAGTCCCAGATCACAAGACCTCCCTGGATCTGAGCTTATTTCTCAGTACAGTGAGGGGTTTAGAGCAGATGATTTAATGTACTTCCCACTTTTAAGATCCACTGACATATATGAAACCATAAATTTGTTTGCAAGAAAATGTTATCTCCTTTCCTGGATTCACAATAAGGTAAGAACTCCTCACCTCAGCTGCTGAGTGGCAGTGCTCACCTAGAAAGAAAAGAACCCAACCCCCCACCCCACCCCACATCTCCTGTAAGTAGTGATCACAGGCTTCTGAGCAACCCCGCACTAGGGATTGTGCTCAGTGCTTTGGGAACATTATTCCCTCAGTCACATAACCCAAAGAGGTAGATACTTCACTAATTTGGAAAAATGAGGCCACAGAGGCCTAGAGATGCTGAATAACTTGCCCCAAATCATAAAACCACAGTAATCAAGGGCAGGTCCAGGCCTCTAAAACAGATCAGATTCAAAGCCCGTGCTTTTATTGACAATAATATCCTGCCTCCTCTCTCAGTAGCTAGGGATATGTATGTGTCTTGTTGTTTTTTTGTTTTGTTTTGTTTTTGTTTTTTGAGAGAGAGAGAGAGAGAGAAAGAGAGAGCAGGGGAGGGGCAGAGGAAGAGGGAGAGAGAGAACCCTAAGCAGGCTCCATACCTAGCATGGAACTACTACACAGGGCTTGATCTCATGACTCTGAGATCACGACCTGAGCCGAAATCAAGAATTGGACACTTTCCCGACTGAGACACCCAGGCACCCCAGGATATGTGTCTTATTATTCAGGTTCTCACAGGAATGTTGGTGGCCAGGTTTTCACAGAGACCAGATGGTCATACGTTTTGATGGGTATTGAGTGTGTCCTAATTACTTTTAGATAAATTCTTGTTCCTGACTTGACCAATTTCTTAGCAAGTGATGTCTCTTCATTAATTTTAATACATCTTTACAAACTATCGAATAACTCTATTCACTAGAACTCAATCAGAATTATCAATTAACTGGAAGTTGTCTGGGTTATTTTGTTTTGTTTTGTTTTGTTGTTTTGTGCTATTTCTCTTTCTGAGGGAAAAAAGACAAATGATAGGAAAATGGATGAGTATCAGAAACTTAATTATTTTTTAATAAAATTCCAGGAGAGT